CACAAGACGTAGTGGTCCTGACTGAGAGCATCCGAAAATCTGGACTGATGTGTTGGCATGGAGGTGGTACGGATTTGATTCGTGGTTAAGTTGATTTTTAATTGAAACAATGATCTCAAGGTCGAGCTCAAGGTTAAGGAAAGAGGGGCGTCAACGAGTTAGCGAGACACGTGTCGGCGCAGCTGTACTGCATATGCTATATCTTTTCTTATATTCGGAGTAACAGGACAACAAGCCAGGATGTGCTGAGTCAGGAACGGTCCAAGTTCACTCGATCCCGATACAATCGTGGAAGTAGGAAATCGCGGCTATAGTGTGCATATTTAGCAAAGTTGTTAGCTATGATCCGATCCTCGATCCCGCTTCGTTCCGCTCCTCCTATCTCCAAGGTGCAGGTGAGGTACCGGCACAGGCTTGTACTAGGATTTTGGACTCGAATACTAGTAACCAGCAGTTATACAGGTGTTCGTAGCCAATACTGGCAATAGCCGTCACTGCTATAGTGACGTACAAGGTAGTGTCTACCATCTTGTTACATCCTGCTGCCGACTGCCGGCTACTACATGTACGTAGCATCAGTTGGCATGGCATCATGGGCTAGCGAGTTGTAAGAAAAACTACTAAAAATACTGGCATCAATAGACCACGCAACTCGAGTCGTACATGTATGTCCGAGGACCGTGGCACAATCATGCTTCCACAAGACATCATACCAAACCCTGACAGCTAGGATACGTTCAATCGCAGTAGCTTATTGCGACTGTATTTGCTCAAATCAGAAGAGTACAGTAGTCTTCTATCTGAGTACAGTATAGTAGTCGTGGAAGTCTACTGCAAATGGATCTCGAACACTTTTTACTTTCTCCCGAATTCTTCTGCCTGCAGCCGGTGTACATCATGCCCGTCTGGAAAGGCCAAGACATAAAGAATGCTCTCGGGTCAGTCTGCAACCTGCAATTCATTGGCTCATGCCGAATCGCGGAATGTACGGCGACTAACTAATACTTGTCATGTCTATACCTTGCAAACAGCACAGCACTGCGTCCATGCATAACACTACACTACTATCAACAAGAGGTGCGGATTGTGCCGCAACTCAACTCAACTCAACTCAAAGTTGGTGTCTCCGGCAATTGCAGTGACGTTACAAACATTAGACGGATGGTTTGTTGCGTGTCGTGTCGGGGAAGTGGTAACATACATGTACATGTAGATCTGCAACTCTGGACACTGCTAGCAATGTTCAGTAAAACCTGTCATGGCGACCACTCGGATAAGGCGACCACCTGTCCCAGAAGACCACTGCAACCAGGACCAAGTGATGCTATTTCCAGCCAGATTGCCCTGGATAAGCAGACCACCTGGTAACAGAGACCACGTTTTGACTGTTCCGGTCGTCTTAGACAGGTTTCCCCTGTAGTGTCAATGTTCTTCAACAAGCCCTGCTTTTACTTCAGTTTGGACGTCTGTGTCACGTGCGTGTTGTACTGCTTCATCATATTGGTCATGGCGCTGGGCTGGTATGTCGCTGATGCACAGTTGTGCACCTTCCGCATCCGCTGCTTGTCGGTTGCCGTTTCAGGGTATCATCTCTATGACGTGGGGATTCTGGTCGCCCACGCACACGTCGTGACCTGCTGGGAATCATAAACTTCGTGGTTTTTAACATTAGTACATACATGTACATGCATATGACTGTAGTCAGTCGGAACACACTATTATTCCTATCTTCTCTGCATACTCGTATTGGCTCAAGCTGCCCATGGAAATGAAGGCAATATCCATTAGACAGTTCGTAGACCATGTTAAATGTCATGCCACGTTGTAGGCTCGCTCGCCTCTTTTGCTAGCTTATCTCGCCGCTCTCCACCATGGTCAACATAGTGATACATTTCACCCCGCTGATGCATTATTTTCTTCCGATTATCATCTTCTTTCCTTCATTCATTCTTTTTTTTTCTTCTCTTGCCATGGCTGGCTAACGCCCCCTCCTTTGTATTGGCTTCTGCCACTGGACGGTGAAATAATAATAATTAAATTTTGTATTTTGTTTGAAGGATTCTCCAAAAGTACGAAGTAGTGATTCTCCAAAGGCTATTTATTGTTCATGTATACTTACAGATAGCCATGGAATGACAGCACTAACGCTAGACTTACTTCAGAGGCAGTCTCATCGGTGCCCTACTTTCGACGGAGCGTCACTGCATTGTCCTCAAACTGCGAATATAGAAATACTGTTTCTAAAGCACCGCAACGCACCAATGCCACAGTGCTGTGTGCGCCATGGTGTAAAGTGTTGAGACCGATTACAACAGTGAACACTCGACAGCGTAGACCTAAAATATCACATCATTCTATCCTCACACGCTGCGCCACGGCGTGGCAGTGGTGCTGAAGCAGAACTGCCGAACATCCGAAGCCACGCGGGCACAGGCAGCCAGAACTGCTTTACTCCGAGAATAGCTTGCGGAGTAGCTCAGGACAGATACATGTATTCATCCCACCTCATCCGCTCCTCCATGCAGATAGGACCTCTCCAAGGGCAATGAAACGCACCATATATGGAAGTATGCCCACCTCCCCCCCTTTCCAACAAATAATTCAATGATATCAACCTGACGTGGGTCACTGGGGGCCACAACATACCAGCATACAGTCTGTGGCTCCAGGTTTGGAGTGCTGTCAGGCTTTGTCCAGTGGCGAGCGTGTCGTGCCTGATTGATCGTGTCAAGACTTGCAGACGCCCAGAACTCGGAGCCCAGCACTGAGCTCCAAGAACTACTACAACTAGTGCTACTAGTATCGTCTCTTTGCATCATTGGAATGAAAATCTGCTGCGGTATTGATTTTTAATAATTTTACCCGTAATGCTATCGATGTAGTGGGCTCACAGGAACAAGACGTTCTAGCTTCATGTTCCATCTGCAACTCGTGTTATCAGATCGGGGCTGATGCCAGAACTCGATTCATGTCGCAGGATTCAAGGCGTTCTTGGGCACTTCCAGGCCTGGTTTGCACCAGGTTCGGAGCACTCCTTTCCTGCTTCAAAAGCTGGAAGAGTTTGAGTGGCGTCCACTTGACTTTAGTACTCCGTTCTGGACAAAACCCTTCGCCATACAGCTGTGGATGAGGTCCATATCTACTCGTATTCTATCACCCCCCCCCCCCCCCCCCCCTTTGAGCACCACGTACTTGATACTAGTAGTTATAATGCATTACCAAAGAGTACACAAGCTGGGAACTTATTAATTTACTCTTGCTAGTCCTAGTACTAGTATCGGACGGGATCAATGCTGGGACAACACTTTTTCACCCAGTGCAGTACGGTCTATTATTTTGAGTAGTAGAGCCATTTCCTTTCATACTCCCCGTCGATCGGGCGTTTTCCGGAGCGAAGCTGGATTCCATCTTGCGACCTACGCCTTTCAGCTTACAGGCATGACAGTGCTTGCAGGCATCAAGGAAAACAGGCGCCTAAATACCGCCGGACCGGCTCTAAACTCTCTCTCCAGTCCTCCACATGCAGTCAAAGTCAGTAATGCAGCACTGGCAGTAGAAGAGAGGAGGAGAAGGGACTGTTTGGCGTATGACCGACATGCCACCACCGTCTGGTCAGTCGCCTTCGTCACCCGTTCCCCTTTCCTGTGTTCAGAGGCCCCGCACACGCTCATGACGATGCATGAATTGTTAGGGGTGTAGCTTGTGGTCTTGAACGTTATGAACGCGTTTGACAGCGAGAAGGAAATTTGCAGTTTGCACAACACCGCCAGCTAATCTCCACCAGGTCTACTTCTGAGCCCCTGGCAGAACACATGTAGTGGACGCATGTGATCGGTCCGCCATGTTCGCACCCTAGATAATGATTTGTGCTCGACACGTCGCCAATCACTGCCACCATCAAACAAGTAACGAAGCAGCCAACCTCACACCCTCATAACTTGACATTAGGTCATATACCACGACAAGCTGGCGTCACACATTCTCCTTGTGGACAGCGCCGGCAAACACTGAGCGTGGCGTTCCTTGGCATGGTTATTGCCCTGCAGAGATGAGTTCAATATTGATTTTTCAATGTCTTGATTGGCTCACAATCACAATCATAGTGGGTCACTATGTCCCAGTCCACGAAACGTTGGCTAGCCAAGAGTATGTTCGTGAGCGGATGCGCATTCCAGCTTCATGTACGTGTTGCAACTGTGCGTTAGATCTGCGTTCACATTCACGGATCGCGGACACACACACGCACACAAGCACGCACGCATACACACACACACACACACACACACACACACATGGCGATACCGCTACAACTTGTTGCAACAAAAAATTATTAAAGATACTGTACTTCCTGTGACTTGCTTTCTACAGCAATCTACTGTCTACAGAGCAGTTTGCTGTGGGATACCGGGTGCCAAGCTTCCCTCCCCTCTCCACTTTGTTTACAGGCACTGCTAGAGACAGCTTCCACGAATAGCAGCATGATTTGAAATTTTGAAGAATGCGTGGGCTGGACGCAGTCTCTGTGAGTACTCCAGTAGTATGGAAACCCGGATTCATGTTGACATTGATATCCGCTGTCAGTGTCAGCTTCTACGCTGTGGTGAGTGTGGATAGGAGATATAACACACATTCTAGACATATTCAGTGCGACCATGTTTGTGGTCTAAAATCGTTGACATGATGCCCTCCGCTACCCACTTTCGCGTCGCATCCCGCGGCTCCGTGACGTCACAATTCGACGACATCCTGCTTGAAATGGAATTATCATGCAGCAAGCAACATGTAGCCAAGCGCAAGGCCAGTAGTAAGGCAGTAGTAGTACAGACTGCCAGAGCATGCGGTGAAGTTTTTTTGGCTGGGCAGCTGTGCGGCTTCCCGTTCTAAACCTGGAGCAAAACACGGCCTCGGCTGGACTCCGGCACGTCGAGTTGAGGAGGCGTCCTACGTCACGCCGACATCTCCCACTGTTCGCGCAGAAGTCTGTTGTTGCTGCTCGCGCAAGTCTGCAGGTTGCAGTGCGAATGAGTAGCGTGCAAGATCTCTAGTCTAGAGCAAGGGCAGTTATTTGTACCACAGCTACAGCCAGCACACCAACTGCAAGTTTGTTCCGGGCGAGGTCTACTAAGAGGGACTCGCATCGGCAAGTTTCGGCAGTTTAGACGCTCGACTGGTTAGGAAAAGGAGGCAACTTTCTGCTCTCTGCTACTACTGCTAAGTATCCGCTAGTATACCCTATCAGTATCATTCTGTGACTCATTCTCACAGCGTCGATCATCGACGAAAAACGTGCACACCGAGGTTCGCTTTCTACAAGAATGGCGAATCATCCAGCAGAGCGGATGGATTTGCGTGTCCTGTCCCGGATTGGTCTGTGGTTGACGCTGTTCATGCTAACATCCCACGGTAAGTTTCTGATATTTCTTCCTTCCTGTTCTCGTTCCGCTGGTACATGTAATCCTTTCGTTGTATCCTTGAGGATATACCACCCAAACTGAGCCAAAGCCAAGGAGTAGAAAACTTGTGCACTCACTATTGCCATCTGCTTTGAGCTTGAGGGTTTTGGTAGGAGTCTGCCCGGAGGCTGACAGGAGTCGTGTATGTACACGTTGAGTACACGTATGGGTGTGCTCTTTGCACGGCACGTGCTCCGTGCAACTCTCAAGATCTCAACGACCCAGGTAGGTCCAAAGCGAAGTAACTATGTTACTTATTTCTTGCGACTCGTGACGAGAAATCTGGGTTTCGAGCTGGACAGCCATGTATTGTGGAACAGGAAACTACTTCTCCGACAACCTGCTGGGCCACATGTTCGTACTTCAGCTGTAAGAACGCTCTTCTGACTTACATAGCTGTTGGCTGTAGTTCTTGCTTTCCAATGGCATGCCACTCCGCCATGGGGTTGTTCTACATACAGTGTACACTCTACATGATACACTTGTTTAGTTGGAGATAGTTCTCGTACTGGAGATCCCGGAGAGGGGCCTATCGGCTTCCAGGTTCCACACGCCAGATGTCAGAGCCGGTACGCGGGCGCGGGTCTAGAAGGATATGCATGGGCACACTCTTCATGCAGCTCCATGCGCGTTCTGTGGTCGACAAACCTCTTGGGCTGCGAGTGCTTGCATGCATACAGATTCCATTAGTGTTACGCAGGCTTGCATGTGACATATCGGTCTTAGCCAGCACAGCAGACGACCACTCAAGAGAATGGTGCATGAAGGCTGTAACCCAATTACAGTCACACAGTATGTGGCATAGAGCTGAGGTCTACAAAGCACTGCATGACTTGTACAGTCAGGTACATGTATTTGTGTGTTGTGCCGGGGATGAAGCAAACATGACTTTACAGTCTTGTGCTTGGAGTAAAAACATGGCCGCTGAGTATTGGTGCATGGAGCATCAATCTCATACACCCCCTCTTTCGACTTAGCTGCCACATTGTAACATTGCGTCCTCTGCAGTTTCCCTGGACGATGAGAGCCAGAGGATCTACCTCTCACAATGAACTGGTTTTGTGCACAGTACATGTACAGAAAGCCTAAGCACAAGCAGTTCTGAATGGCTTCAGCAGTTTGGTATTGGCTGCTGAAACAGCCATTTGTCAAAACAGTGTGCCCCAAGGTCCAACTATGGTGTCTAGTGAAATGTTGAAATGAGAACTACCTATGAGGATGTGTATGGCAGTTGTGATCTCTATACAACTATGCATGTGCTCTGGTTCAGGCTAATGCAGTGTGGAGATCTCTTGTTTTGCACCTTTGTTGACTGCAATGGGCCTAGCAATGCATGCAACTTGCCTTGGTGGTGAAAGAAAGGGAAATTCTTAGAAGCCCGATAGTGCTCTGATGCGCCTGAGATCTGGGAAGGTATGCATTTTTAGAGTAGAGGTTGACTGAGTGGTTAGTTTCTAAGCCTGCTGTGGAAAGGATTCCAAAGATATTCATGATCCAAATGACAGTCAGAAAGAAGATCTCAGCTCAGTTGAGCTTAAAAGACATCGGCAAAGCTTAACCTCCCACAAGATGTAGTCACCAACTGTAGGCAACTTTGGTTCATAGAAATGTTCTCCAACTGGTGGTGAGGATGTAACTGGATGAGATGCCTGAGCAAGGGCAACCTCTTGATGAGCTGAAATCAGAGAATGGAATGAGCCCACACCATAAGAAATTGCCATTAGAAGATTATAGCTCACCCAGCCGTGAATTGTTATCCTCTTCCAAAGTACCACCCACTGAGGTACATCAATTTGCCACCAGCTGGGCCAGAGGAGATTATCATGCCTGGTCGGCAAGAACTCTTCTGTAGTCGGCCTCTTTATGAACAGGAGGCCGAACCGGCCTTGTAAATCTGGGTGTAGGACGTGTACATGTAGTTTCACAGCAGCAAATGCATGGCTAGCACTGGTGATGTAAAGGCAACTGTCACAGACCATGATGTACACTAGCAATTAATGGCTGAGTGAATTATGCACTATATTGTTACTTGGGCATCAATCGTTGTCTTTATAATCCTCAGACCGGGCCTGTTTTTGATTGACAACAAGATAATGTTTCAGAGAGAATGAATAATTACATGTACATGAGTACACGTTATACATTACTGACTTTGGTAAAGTGGGCAATAATGCAAATATCCGACTAACTAGACTAACCCGTCTTCTTGTTGTTCTTCTTCTCCCAATGGCTACAGTTATCCAGCCGGTGTACAGTCAAACGACACCGCCATCCAGCTCCACCTCGTGTCGTGGCGGCTTCTTCTTTGACGTGACCCTCTCCCTGTGCCTGCCGTGTGACCCGTTGTGCCTGGGCGCCGGGCAGAGACACCGCGGCTGCGAAGTGTGCTTCGCGCCGTCCACAGCCGCGCCAGCCAGTCCCACCGTGGAATCTGCACCAGTTGCCACCACCAGCCAGGCCCAGCCCACCAATTCAGACGATAGCATTGAAACTCTGACAACTAGCCCTATTGCTGAGCAGGGTAAGCGAAGGATGTTTGCCAAAAAATGGATTATTAGTACTTCCGAAGCTCATATGCTAGTACTTCAAGTATGAGTTCTCTAGTCGCTGCAGCAATAGCCTTTATTATTGTATCTGTGTGTGTGTGTGGGGGGGGGGGGGGGTACAGACTGCTGCAAATTAGGGCTTAGGCCTTCAAGTCGTATCGGCGTTGCTCCCATATTCACACAAATCAAGAGAAGGAATTATCCATGATTATTATTGATTGAGTGAATTGGCAAGGGGTGGTTCATGGCTGGCTGCAAAGCACCTGATAGCTTCACCTTGTAGTGGGTGGTGATTGACGTACATGTAATCAGCATAATCACACTTTCCAGTTTCTCTGCCACGTTGCCATGGGCATTGGAGCTGCAGCACCATGCTGCAGGGGAAATCAATCAGCCTCAGACCCTGGATAGAATAGTGAAAGGATCTCATCATGGCCTAACCTGTATTTTGCTTCCTTGAGAGGCACGTAAGCAGAAGTGGAATGTGTCAAATAAGCTGTAAGGGCACACCTTTAGCTCTCCTTAAAAACCTGACCAGCAACATGATCTACTTGTCCACAAGCTGTTGGTGCTCACACTATGATCAGGGTTAATTTGTCCTGCATCTAATTTCCAGGTGCTTTTTAAGCTCCTGACAGATATCTTTCTCTGCAAATACTGCTAATGATAGTCAATTTAATTAATTCCTCGCTTTTCTTGTGGGAATTACGTCATCATTTAGAGTATATGGCCTGTATAAAAATTAGAATAATAATGAAGTGTGTGTGTGTATGTTTGTGCTTGTACATTTCTAGTTACCACCACCACCACCACCACCACCACCACAAGCATCAGCAAGGTTGTTTCAGCATCACCATCTGCTGTTGACTGTAAAGGAACAGCTTGCACCAGTCCAGGTACGTGGCTCACTGCATGCACTGTAAATATATTGAGTGGCCTAGTACAGTGCTGGCAACTGAAATCCGACCCCCTTGGCGGCGCGCCGCGCCACCAAGGGCTTCGGATTTCAGTTGCCAGCACTGTAGTAGTATCTCTGCATGAGGGGACAGTGGGATATTCATCACTATTTAGGGAAGGCATTCCATCTTTAACGTACATTGTATACCAAGACAGATCCTCAGAATCGGCGACTTCCGCACTCCTTTCATGCTTCGAAGTGAATGTACTAAAAAAGTATGCAACTGGCAGTGGTTCTGATTGGCAATGTAATTGTAAGATGCATTCGATTCCTACTTGACAGTCAGCTGCATTGCTTTACATAGTTCTACATAGTTGCATCCATTTGATAGAAGTCTTCCTTGTCCACTGTATTCCTCCGTACAGTTGCAGATAGCAACGCTTCATCACCCGCATCCAACTCCTTCATGGTGGACACCCCGGTAATCGTGGCCGCTGCTATCTCTGCCATTCTCGTGATTATCATCATCGTCCTGCTTGCAGTCTTCATGCATCAGCATCGCCGAAAGCGGGAGGCGCGGTACGGGTCCAAGACTGGTCAGTTCCTCCAGCTGAATACACGCATGTGCATGTCAAAAAAAAAGAGGAGCATTATGCAAAGCTGTAGGAGTATGTAGCAATAACTTGCAAAGCAGACTTCTGTACAGGAATTTGGTGGTATGCCATTCGTTATAAATGTTTGGCAATGTACTGCAACTGCACTGTGATTCGCGGTTAAAGTCAACCTTTCTACTTGAACTCGCATACCACAGTGTTTGCACTAATTGTGAGCTCTGTCAGTATACACCGTTGATATGAACGTAGAACTACGCACCCAGCACACACTGAACACTGTTCCAGCACCTGCTGCAACTTTTCGAAATGCAGCGCTATACAGCCTCTTGTCAACGGTAAACATGTTATCGGACTTTCCAGAATGATAAACAGTTGTCCCTAGCTTTGCTTGACTAACTCGCAGCTGCAGTTTATCCTATGGTGCATTGGTACTAAATCATTTCCCTGTGTGTCTTGTTCTGTTTTGCCATTTACAGTGTCAGCACTCAATCAGCCACCACCAGCCAGCGCACGACCAAAGTCGAATGACTACGCGCATCTGTGGACTAGCGAGCAGTCGCCGCAACCAGAACGACGGCCCATCTCCGGTCAGTACAGCGTACCCAGGCCCCTGGCGTTGTCCGACGCCTTCTCACGTCCCTCTGCTCCCACGCCGCGTGGTCAGAAGCCACAACAGCAACCCACGTACCCGCCGCCGATTCCGCCCACTGTCGCCAACCACCAGTGGCTGCGTGTGTCGTGCAGTCAGCCCAGCTCCAAGACCTCGACCCTGGAAAGTGAAATCGTAGAGATGCCCGATGTGGAGGCTGGTATTGCCACTCAGCACGGTGGACTAGGCCCGTCTGCGGGTCTCGCATTCCATCGCATGCGCTCAGTGTCTGCCGAGAATCTCCCGCAGCTCGTCAGTGAGAACCACCGCCGCCGCCAGAACTGGCTTGAGATGGAGCGACGGGCCAACCCCAACCCACGGCAAGCATCTTCTCTGGCCAGGCAGCTGAGTCGGCCGTCCGGAGCTGCACCACCCAGGGACCAAGTTCCCACTCAGCCGATGATGATAACAGCGGCAGGCACGGCACTCGGTGCGGCTCAACTGTCCTCGGTGGTGGTACGCAGCACACAGCCAAATGGTCGCTGCACCGTGCCCGTGCGGCCCTGGTCCATGACGAACGCGGTGGACACGGAGCGACCGCTGAGTGATACGAACGAGTCATGCCGCAGCACAGGCACCAACAGCTCTGCGTGCACGTACAGCACGTCAAGCAGCTGCAGCCGCGGCGTGCCACAACAGCTTCAGCGCGCATCGACTGGAGCATCCCTGACACCCACCGCCCTGCGCAACTCCTACGGTGAGACTGGGTACGATTCGTTCACCGATGAATATTACGATGATGATCAGCTTGCATAGTGTAGTGCGCCACGCCTAGAGAACAATGAGTAAATATGAATTTGCAGAGCTAGGTTGCCCTTGTCGTACGGCAGTGCCATATAAAATACGAATTTATAGATTTCTATGATTCCCTGTAACCTGATTCCGTGAGATGATCCAACCCATCCGAATTATACCATTCACAACTTGAGAAGATTTTATCTACAAAGGCTATATTATATATGGTGTTCATAATGCAATCGAAGGACCCGGATACTACTATACTGTTGACCTCAGTGTTTCCAAACTTCAATACCCTATATCAATTTATCATGACGTTTCAAATTTATTATTCCGAAGTTAATAAGTGAGACTGTTCAATTTGGCTCATGATTCTAGCCCGGGCCGACCGAATAGAGGCTTTCTGCGTTTGAAGAGCACGTTTTCTATTGGACTGATATTTCCCTAGCTGGTGGGGGTGATGCTGTGCAGTCACGGGTGCACAGCAATCTGCCTTGGCTCATGCATTGGCTTCAGTGTTTTTTTTCATTGCTCTCTCAGCATTACTATGATCTAAGTACCTCACAGTATCTGATCACTATCCCAGCTATATCGGAGTACAGTAAGATCGGGCGCCGAAGAACGCAGGGGCTCGAGCGCAGCCTAGGACAGTTCTTAAATTTTTGATTCTAGCCAGACCGTTCTTATTCACACGCGCGCGGCGAGTCGAGTGCCGTCATGACGTTTGTCATGTACATGTACATGTACATGTAGTGCAATGTAGTACTTCTAAACTAGTGGGTGTTGTAAATGGGAATGACTGTATATGTAGCAGTTACTGTTTACACGTGTACATGACATGTACTCACCTCCCATACATGTACAATGTTCCAAGTTTTAAAAGTGTTCTTAAATCTGATAATTCTAGCCTGGACTGTTCTTAAATTTGGCCGGTTTTCCAGCCTGGGTGTTCTTCGGCGAGGTGTTCTTCGGCGCCCGATCTTACTGTACTATGTGAAGACTATCCGAGTACCACCTGAGCACTATGGGTGTCACGCGGAGTACCATTGTCTGCTTGTTTACAGCAGGCAGGCGCTTGCCTGCATGGGGCACGGGGCACGTGCACCCCCCCCCAAAAAAAAGGTTCGACCTAAGTTCAGCATGCACATAATGACATGCACCAGCCATCCTACACATACATTGTATGCGCCCCCCCCCCCCCCGGGGCCGCGCACCAAGCTCCCCCCCCTCCCCCCTCCCCCCCCCTCCCCTCCCCTAACGACGTTAAAAGGGGGACCAGCTACATGTACAATTAAAGGGGAAGTTAAGGCAAAAATTAAAATTTCACCAGTTGTAGTCTTCGGGGTGCTGAGTCGAATGATCGTGGTCCGAGGAAGCTGAGACGCTCCCTTCCTACTTGAATCCCAATCGAACTCGCGCACTTCCACCGAAACTGGGTGACTGCGCCCTACGAGATGGGGATTTGTATGCAAAATGTCACTAAAAGCGCCATTTCGTTCTTATAAAAGCACGGATGACCGCGATTGGCCCATATGTTGTAGTCTTTTGGACGCTGAGTCGACTGGTTTTGGTCCGAAAAGGCTGCGATGCAGCGTTCGCCCCTAATTCCCAATCGAACATGGTTGAACAAGCGGTCACGTGCTCTGCGTACACCAGTCACCTGGTCACCGTGCCTGCAGGGTACAACTTACAGCCTGTTTTGACCTTTTTTGGGTGCAGTCCTGTCACTCGAGTTGAACCTTGGTGTGAAAGTTGTCGCCTGCTGGCGTGGTGACCAGGTGATTTTGGCACCCAGGAGCACGTGACCGCTTCTTCAACCATGTTCGATTGGGAATAAAGGAGGAACGCTGCATCGCAGCCTTTTCGGACCAAAACCAGTCGACTCAGCGTCCAAAGGACTACAACATATGGGCCAATCGCGGTCATCCGTGCTTTGATAAGAACGAAATGGCGCTTTTAGTGACATTTTGCATACAAATCCCCATCTCGTAGGGCGCAGTCACCCAGTTTCGGTGGAAGTGCGCGAGTTCGATTGGGATTCAAGTAGGAAGGGAGCGTCTCAGCTTTCTCGGACCAAGACCATTCGACTCAGCACCCCGAAGACTACAACTGGTGAAATTTTAATTTTTGCCTTAATTAAAGGGGAAGTATACCCTAAAATCAAATTTTCACCAGTTGTAGTCTTCAGGGTGCTGAGTCGAATGGTCTTGGTCCGAGGAAGCTGAGACGCTCCCTTCCTCCTTTATTCCCAATCGAACTCGCGCACTTCCACCGAAACTGGGTGACTGCGCCCTACTAGATGGGGATTTGTATGCAAAATGTCACTAAAAGCGCCATTTCGTTCTTATAAAAGCACGGATGAGCGCCATTGGCCCATATGTTGTAGTCTTTTGGACGCTGAGTCGACTGGTTTTGGTCCGAAAAGGCTGCGATGCAGCGTTCCTCCTTTATTCCCAATCGAACATGGTTGAACAAGCGGTCACGTGCTCCTGCGTACACCAGTCACCTGGTCACCGTGCCTGCAGGGTACAACTTACTAGCCTGTTTGACCTTTTTTGGGTGCAGTCCTGTCACTCGAGTTGAACCTTGGTGTGAAAGTTGTCGCCCGCTGGCGCGGTGACCAGGTGATTTGGGCACCCAGGAGCACGTGACCGCTTCTTCAACCATGTTCGATTGGGAATAAAGGAGGAACGCTGCATCGCAGCCTTTTCGGACCAAAACCAGTGGACTCAGCGTCCAAAAGAGTACAACATATGAGCCAATCGCGGTCATCCGTGCTTTTATAAGAACGAAATGGCGCTTTTAGTGACATTTTGCATACAAATCCCCATCTAGTAGGGCGCAGTCACCCAGTTTCGGTGGAAGTGCGCGAGTTCGATTGGGATTCAAGTAGGAAGGGAGCGTCGCAGCTTCCTCGGACCAAGACCATTCGACTCAGCACCCCGAAGACTACAACTGGTGAAAATTTGATTTTAGGGTATACTTCCCCTTTAACTTCCCCTTTAAAAAGGTAGCAGTACTGGAATATGCCATTCGCAAATACAAACAACTAAAATCGGGTATTACTTCGGTGTCTGTGAATCTTTTCCCACAAAATTTTGAGCACAGATTCATGATTCACGCCACCACCTAATAAAAGTAGTACCTTGAACTTATTTACTTTGCATCGTCCCAAAAGTTCACTGCACTGGAGAGTAAAAAAATGCCGTCATCTCAGATTTTTGGTACATGCTAGCAGCAACATAATATCAGCTGAAGTGTTAAAAATGCATCACAAGCGACAGTCTACAACAGTAGCAGATGCTGAATAGAACAGATTGGAGATAGAACACAAATAGCACCACCCAGTCAACATCATCTGTGAAGACGCCCGTCACCGTCGAAAAAGATTATTACTACTGAGGCAGCTAACATCCGCCAAACAAAACACTATGGCTTTATAAATATATTCAGCATCTGGGAAATTTTCCACTGATCAATCTACATATAAGCTTTATTGGGCTGTGATGAGCCAGTCTGGAGATATAGTGTACCAAAGTTTGGTCGGAAGGCCAAAAAACACTAACTTTTGGCACTCTGAGAACCCTCCAGCAATGTATGTGACTACCTCTGCTTGCTGTATCGTGTCAGCAAATCCCTTTCGAATGGCTCTTGTTTTCTTCCTGGCTGACTTTTGCTCCTCACTGGACCTTCTCCTCCTGTGATACTGCTTCTCTTCATCCAACTTGAGAAGACCAGAGCTGGCAAGTGAACCCTTAGAGCAGCTCATCATTTCCAGCACAGCCGAAAACATTTCCATTGTTCGTACTCAGCATTAGAAATCTTTCTTGCTTGCCATCTGTTCTTCCAAGTTTTACATCCACTGCAGTGTTTTGATAGCACCTCCGCGTTCAGAACCTTTTCTGTCTCATAGGACACAACAGTTGGCATACCAAACATTGATGAGAATCCGCGCTTCATCCACGTTCCATCGCCATCGGTGCTAACTGCAACATGCTCCGGGTGGGAATGCTGTTCTGTTGTTCGCCGAACAAGAAGACGCTGTGCAGCACTCTTCATGCTGTCCCTAGCATCAGTTTCCACAGCAGTGTGTAGTGCATCGCTGTGCCCAGAATTGGACTTGCTAACAGGAGGCGGCATATCCAATATCCCACAGATATTGTTCAGACCTTCTCGTCCACTACCAATAAGGCGCATGGCAAGCACACTGCGGCGGCGGTTTATATCGTACAATTTAGCAAGTGGGTGTCTTTCTGCCAGGGCTACACTGGTTGATGAGTAGCACGATTCGCACTGCAAACTAATTGTTGAGGCGAGGCCATGACGAAAATTAACTTTGATAGTCAGGTTGCCCTCTTGATAATTACTACATACACACGCTGACGTCACCAATTGCTGTAAGCTCTCCATGTGAACAATTCGATTTCCTGATGGAATATCATCGCAATCCTCTTCAGACTAATCTCCATCGTTATCACACGAGGCATCACTGAATAAAAAATCAGCTGGACGATCAGAGTAATCTTCTACGCCCTCACCAGCTCCATCAGCCTGCGACTCGCCGAGTGTTCGCTTTCACTCCCCTCAATTGGCTCAAATACTTCAGGCTTGAAACGAGCTTGGACGTAACTCTAGGAAATTTGCTTTTCCTTGGCCTGCTGAGCGACCTTCGTTTGTGTTCATCACCCGTCTCCTGACCAAGTAGCGCCAGCACAACAACTCAAGCGCAGAGCTGCAACGTCGATGACAAACGCTCGTCGCATTGGCAAACAGTTTGAGAACAAAGAATTTTTTTATCATTTTTGAAAATACAATTGCGTGGGTTGAGTGCAGGCCAGCCAGGCTAGCTCTGGCTTGGGCCAGGCAGGCGCTGCATGTGGCGATCGCGACACTCAGCCCAGCTCTAAACTGGTTTTAGCTGGACAGATAGTGTGAATCACGGCAAGGATGCGCTGATATTGTACAGAAACCCTCTCGAAATAGATTGACATCGATCAGCTGATCAGTGCAATTTTGAAATTTTGACGGGTATTTTCAGTTTTTGAAGGGCCATATCTCTGCTTTGGCTGGTTCGAATGCCAAAAAATTTCATTTGTAGAGCCTTTGGTATTCCTTCTTTCAGAAAAATCACACTTTCAGCAGTTCCCGTGAAATTGATATTTTGGCTAAATCTGACACCCGTTTTCCAGTACTGCTACCTTTTAAAAGGGGAAGTGCATCGATTTTTCAAGTAGGGCTCAGATGAAAGACGGGATATCGGTTCCGATGGTATATCTCTCGCTTGCGTACGGCAAGGGAAACTTGCCATATCGCCGATTTCCCTATCCCGTTTCCATGGCGACTACAGGTGATGACGCACATTCTGCTTAGCTCCGTGAGAGAGAAGGTCGATCACTGCAGAATAGACCCTTTGCGCAATAAGCGAGAGGGGTCGAGACGGGGCATGCTGTGCACGCGCTGCACACTTGGCATGCAACCAGCATGCATGGTTTTGCTGCAGAACGTGATCAAGTTTCCTGTGACAGGCTGTGTTTTCACGGTCCCGACGCGATGTTCATGTATGTACTCCCCAGCCTTTTTCATTTTCAAGTTTTTCTAGTTCTGAAGGAAGAAGTCCCGAAATGCTTTCCAAGGACCACTGTTGGGTTCTTGTTTGCAGCAACCGTCATCCCTAACGTTAGTCTAAGGAACCCACTTGTCTTTCCATGCGTTCCCTGGTGATGCTGGCATTCCACACTCTGGAATCCTGGCTATCTGGCGAGAAGAGGGCCGGGTACTGAGGGCCGCAGTGCTGCGATATCGTTTACAGTGTTGTGCTCGGAACTTTGTCCATGACGACTTTCATCCTTGCTTTTGCGAAGATATGGAACGCCCTGCCAAGAGACTCTGGAGCTTGAGAAAAAGGCATGATCCCTGTCTTCGCTATTGGAAGATCGACTGCTTGCTGGCGCTGCTCGAGCTGCTGTTGTTGAAGTGGAGAGAGACGCGGCCTCATCGCTCAGGTGTGCGGAGAAAGTCATCTGAGTTCGAGCTGTGGCTGTGTGCACGATATGACAGACTTTCACATTATGCACATAGCCACCAAAGTAAAACTCATGGACACTATCCACGGGCTTGTTCACTAGTACTACTCCATCAGCTCCCTCTTCACTGTCGTCGGCGACTTGCCCCTGCGTTGGAGACGAGCAAGCATGGTGTGGCACTCACTCTGGGAAACAGAGGTTCATCACTCATCCACTGGGACGCATGAAATGTTGGGCATGATGAAGGTACACTCGAGGAAGTGGTGTCCTTCTTAGTTCTAGGAGCATCAGGGTTCTGCATAGAGAAGTGTTCTCTACATCGACAGAGGAGAGAAGGTAGAGAAAATAAAAATAAATTTCAATCTACAGTAATCCGAAATATCCACTGAATGCGGAAAACTTACCGCTCCAACAACTCCTTCTTTTTCCAGACAGATACGCACCCTCATTCAGCAGAAAACTGTTCAGTTCCTTACACAACCGATCTTCATTTGACAGTTCGTCCACGGGTTCCACAGCCATCGATGGCAAACCACTCGACACTCTCTCCTCCATCTCCAAAATGGAAAAATACAGTGTTCCACCATGCTCAACAACTGATACTCTGCACAAAAATCGAAGAGGATGCCCCGTCTCGGATCACGTGACCGTTATTGTGCAAAGGGTCTATTGTGTCATTTTCAGTTGTCTTCTTGTATTCACGAAGTGAAAGAAGTACTGTGTTCTGAAGCCAGGTGAGACGACGAGTAGCGGAGATTAGCGAACGAAATAATGTCGTATGTTTTGAAATTTTTGCTGAACATATCTCAGGAGAGATGGCATGTATGAACTTAGTCCATGTGAACTCAATCAGCCCATGAACTAACCCATGAACAAATGCTTTCCTTGCAGACGTGCATCATGATCATGTGCATGAGTCTATCCAATCTACACGTAGAGATCATTCCATGCCCTCAGTGAATGGCCCATTTATAATATAAATGGGCCATTCAGGAGATATTATATTATTTGTCCATACGCTTCATCTGCATGTTGTCTCTATGGAAAAGGGTATTGTTCATTTCATATGAAGAAGTTCGGGCAATAGATGCTTTCCTCTGGTACAATCCTGTTGACCTGATGTTCTTTCTAGCTTCATGGGTAGCTTAGGTGAGGTACCATCACCATCATGTTTACATGAGGATCAAACACTGCACCGTTCTTTGTTGTGACATGACGTAAGTTATTGTAAGTGCTTGCAGACTCTATACGTTCCAGCAACACCTAGCATGGTTTCCCGTGAACGTTGTGGGTGAACAAATTCCTGTCCAACATATTTATACAGACATGCCAGCACACACCATGCACCATACACCATACACACACTTGCCCTGCCCTGTCGAGTCACTGCCACGTGGGCCCGGAGGGGCAGTGGAGAGAGAATGGGAGAACGCCGCCCCATGGCACCCGGGACACAAAAACAAGAGTTTGTCTATGTAGGGAGCAACACACATACATACATACACCACACACACACACACACAAACACACACACACACACACACAAAATGAGAGTTCGGGTCATCTGCCACGAGACTGACGTACGGCCGCGGAGAGCTTCAGCAGCGGTGTCTATTCCTGCCCTGGACCGAACGGAAGCAGCGGTCGCAGGACACACAGTATTCACCACAACACGGCTCCACTGTCGTTGGGGGCTGAGCCACACACTTGTGACAGGCAAGAACGCCATAGCTAAGAAAGCAACGGCCACAGCGATCACACTGGCATGCTCCACGCTGCTCCTGCACACACTCTCTCTCGCTCACACACACACACACACACACACACACACACACACACACACACACACACATACACACAACACACACCGTGACGCGTGCGCACATACTGCAAGAATTCTGAAAGAAAGAGAGCATGAGTGTCAGATTCTTGCATAGGAAGTGTTTATCAGCACACACGTATACATGCACATGCAGGCACTCAACGACCAACTATGCACCCATGATGCCGTATGTTCGTCAAACATAAGATTGCAATACCAAAGAACAACATAAACAAGATCACTTACTTCGTTCTCCTCCAAGTGTGTCCTCCCCAGCCAGGCCGTCTCCTGCATTTCCCTAGGCGGAATGTAGCCTACGAAATGGTTTCTCTAGACTAGGAGAAGATGCTTGGTATTCGCCATCTCTCCTGAGAAATCAGCAAAAATTTCAAAAAATACGACATTATTTCGTTCGCTAATCTCCGCTACTCGTCGTCTCACCTGGCTTCAGAAGATGTTACGAGAGATAGGAGAGTCTCCAGCAGGCAGCGCATCCATCTTCAGGAAGTGGAAAGAGCAAACGGCATGGTCCTTGGTTGAGGTAAATGCTGAACGTTTGATTTGTCCCAACCAAGATTTCAGCACTTGGTTCGTCACGATTTTCGCTTGCCAGCTAACGTCTCCGCACTCCAGCTTTCCCCTGTCGGTGTCACGTCCCAGTACACAACGGAGAGGACTACTGATAAACAGTTCACGGCACTAACAGCATTGAACACAGTACTTCTTTCACTTCGTGAATACAAGAAGACAACTGAAAATGACACAATTCTGCAGTGATCGACCTTCTCTCTCACGGAGCTAAGCAGAATGTGCGTCATCACCTGTAGTCGCCATGGAAACGGGATAGGGAAATCGGCGATATGGCAAGTTTCCCTTGCCGTACGCAAGCGAGAGATATACCATCGGAACCGATATCCGTCTTTCATCTGAGCCCTACTTGAAAAATCGATGCACTTCCCCTTTAATGTACATGTACTTGTACATGTATTCGCTCAATCAAGAGCGACACCTAAAAGTCCTTGCTTGTAGCCACAGCCGCTGGCGACACTACGGGCCGCACGGGTTGACCATGTTTATGATCCTTGGGGAGGCCGCACCCTGCTGTGGTTTGGCTGAATGGACTTGAACAGCGATTCTGGTAGTTTGTCCTCGATGTTGTCTTTCAGGAAGGCTTTGATCTCCTTGTCCAAAACCTCAGCCTTGGCCTCCAACCTTTCGTATTTACATGTACCGTGTCATGTACTCGAATCTCCCAGCAGCTGGTTACATTTGTCTACGTAGCTGGATTTCGATAATACAACAAAGCCTTTGCTCCTGTCTGAAGGCTTGATGATGACATTGTCATCCACTTGCAGTTGCCAAGTTGTAAATGCCGCTGTTCTTCTCTGCTCATCCGGCGGGATACTGATCCTTGCGAAGTAAGTTGCGATCCACAGATCTGTCCTTCTCTTTCTGGCGTAGCTTTCGCCGTTTCGGCGTTTGATGTCGTTGTCAAGGTAGCGGCTTGGCCGACAGGTCACGAGAAAATCTACCATGGCTACGAGTAGAGTCTACCATGGTTACTTGAAAAGCATGACGTGACTGCTTGCATAACCGCGCGTTTTCACTATTTTGCAGTACTGTATAAAAAAACACTCTTTTTGGCATATGCATACATTGCATGATCCCGACTCGAGTCTCGAACCACGCATGTGCTTTTTTTGTTCTTGATGAATCTCGCACAGCTAGCTTGAGAGTCGTAGTAACGACGTTTGTTGACTGATGAATGTTCGCCTTTCACCATTCGTAATGAAACGAAAGAGATTTTGTTGAACGAAGCAACGAATCGGACTTTCATGACTTCTACAACACTTTGAGTGTTGAATTTCACAATGGCTACCACCAACAGCCCTGTTTGCGACAGATGCGAGGAAAGTCCTGCGTTGTTCGAATGTAACACTTGCTCGCCGGGAGATGAAGGTTTGTGCCTTTCTACGCATAGTGAATGAGTTTATCATTATTGTGTTGCTGGTGGAGCATTGGTTCCTTTCCTGATATGTTGGCAGCTTTTGTACACCGTGTTTACCTAATGATAACGGCCCTAACTTGTTACCAGTCTTTGAGTGATCCTCAATATTATCAGTCATTCAATACCTCAATTCTTCCCCGGATTATATAATTATATGCACGAAATTATCAATTTTTTGTTAATTTATGTGAAGCAATATTGGTTCAACGTTTGATTGATTGCAGGCAGCTGTGCTTCAGTGTGTTAGCATAACTGTATGTACAACACCCAGTGCTCATTCTATGCCTACTCTAGGGTAATCGTACTCTCCTGTTCCCCTGGCTTTAGAATTAGAGCTTCTTGGCAATTGTAGTCTCTCTCTCTCTCTCTCTCTCTCTCTCTCTCTCTCTCTCTCTCTCTCTCTCTCTCTCTCTCTCTCTCTCTCTCTCTCTCTCTCTCTCTCTCTCTCTCTCTCTCTCTCTCTCTCTCTCTCTCTCTCTCTCTCTCTCTCTCTCTCTCTCTCTCTCTCTCTCTCTCTCTCTCCTGGGTGTGTGTATGTGCGCCGGTGCAGTTTTCTATCTCTGTAATGGTTGTCACAGTCTAATTCATGTCGGAAAATTCAAGTCACACGCAGTTATATCTCTCCTGGACAAGGTTGGTTATGACGTAGCAGTAGTAGCAGTAGTAAAGTTTATTATTTGACTACGACATGCAGCCGTTTTGAAGTTTACAAGTCCAATTTTGTCTTTCAGATGCATGAAACATAAATTATGGACTGTGCTGCATGCCGATTGACATTTCCCATATGCAACGTGACTAGTTTGACTTGCCCGCAGTCAAATTCCTCATTTTAACATAAGCATTGTATGAACGGTCAGTAGAGTGAGTGACTGTTTAGCATGTTTCCGAAGTTGACAGCATAATGAATGATCGTTCTACTGCAGACTGCTCTTCCTGATGTTCAGTGCACGTAATGTGCAAGGGCTTTTCCTCATTCAATACACAGCGTGTTTGTAAGCGAATTGCGGACGAGTTAAAGGGGAAGTATACCCTAAAATCAAATTTTCACCAGTTGTAGTCTTCGGGGTGCTGAGTCGAATGGTCTTGGTCCGAGGAAGCTGAGACGCTCCCTTCCTACTTGAATCCCAATCGAACTCGCGCACTTCCACCGAAACTGGGTGACTGCGCCCTACTAGATGGGGATTTGTATGCAAAATTTCACTAAAAGCGCCATTTCGTTCTTATAAAAGCACGGATGACCGCGATTGGCCCATATGTTGTAGTCTTTTGGACGCTGAGTCGACTGGTTTTGGTCCGAAAAGGCTGCGATGCAGCGTTCCTCCTTTATTCCCAATCGAACATGGTTGAACAAGCGGTCACGTGCTCCTGCGTACACCAGTCAGCTGGTCACCGTGCCTGCAGGGTACAACTTACTAGCCTGTTTGACCTTTTTTGGGTGCAGTCCTGTCACTCGAGTTGAACCTTGGTGTGAAAGTTGTCGCCTGCTGGCGCGGTGACCAGGTGATTTGGGCACCCAGGAGCACGTGACCGCTTGTTCAAGCATGTTCGATTGGGAATAAAGGAGGAACGCTGCATCGCAGCCTTTTCGGACCAAAACCAGTCGACTCAGCGTCCAAAAGACTACAACATATGGGCCAATCGCGGTCATCCGTGCTTTTATAAGAACGAAATGGCGCTTTTAGTGACATTTTGCATACAAATCCCCATCTAGTAGGGCGCAGTCACCCAGTTTCGGTGGAAGTGCGCGAGTTCGATTGGGATTCAAGTAGGAAGGGAGCGTCGCAGCTTCCTCGGACCAAGACCACTCGACTCAGCACCCAGAAGACTACAACTGGTGAAAATTTGATTTTAGGGTATACTTCCCCTTTAAGCCGTGGACGTGAGAAGCTGTACTTTATTTCCCTCCCTAATTCAAAGTGTGTGTTTGTGTGCATGTGTGTGTCTGTATACATGGTGGTGGTGGTGTGCGGGCATGTGTGTGTGTGTGTGTGTGCATACATACATTAACTTTCCTCCAGGCGAAACAATCCATACACGGCTGCGTGGAGAGGCTTCAAGAGTACGTTCACATCCAACAATTATAGTATTGTGCCCTGTTTGTGCAGAGTGTTGTCTGCTGATTGACTTTGTATGTGTGCATGTACACTACCTTGCAGTCTCTATGACCATAGGCATATAATGACTGTATATTCAGGGCCTGACTGGTCATGTAAGGTTACCCTTGCAGTACACCCTACCCCTGGATATATGAAATCCAGTCGTGTCACTCAAGTTTGCGCCTTGCACCATTTCGCAGCCCAGTGTTGGCAGGCCTGCGGCTGCGCAATGCCCGGCGCGTACTTGAGTGACTCGACTGGATTTCATCGAGCGGCACTGTGCTTCGTTGTTCAGACTGTTGTTCAATGTTGTTTGGACTCTATTATAGATCCCAGGGATGGTAGTTCTGTTTGCTAAGTTACTGTACAGGCAGAACATTTCGTCGGTCAATAATTTCGTCCAACTCCAAAGAAGGGAGTTTGTCCAGTTGAAAATTTCGTCCATGGATCACAAGAGTGTATTGAAAAGCTGGACAAATCGACACTAGTCCGGCATTTAATTTAGTCCAAAGCTCCTTGGACGAAAAAGACGAAAATAAATTCCAGACGAATATTTCTGCTTATACAGTAGTGTTTTGGTTTGTGCTCTGTTTGTGTGGTGGTGCAGGAAGGATGATCTCATTGCTGGTCAGCTAGACCGTGCCAATAATGCAAAGAAGCAGCTGCAGGATTGGTGAGCAGACTATGCTAGTGTTGTGTGTGCGTGTGTAGGTGTGTGTGTGTGTGTGTAGGTGTGTGTGTGTGTAGGTGTGTGTGTGTGTGTGGGTGTGTGTGTGTGTGTGTGTGTGGCATGTATGGTTGCTGTATGTACATGTAACTGCTGTGCGTGCATACACTTTACTCCCATGTATGTGTTCTAACTTTGACAACTAAACACCAACCGCTCATGCATACCTAACTATCATTTCAGGGTAGATGTATAACCTGTATTGGCTAAGCTATGTATAATGCCAAGGGTAGATAAACCAGAGTGTGCAACTGTGCGTATCAGATCTGAAACAGCGCACTTCGTGCACTACGTCACCTGGATGAGGTTAGCCAAGCTGCGACTTGCGTACAGCTCAAATTTTCGTGTTTCACAGCCCGGAAATCAGCCACGTTTGCATGATTTTAGACGTCCTGTTTTAGGATTTCGGTGTTTTTGTGTGACTGCGTACGCTGCGTACATCCGTTGACAAGTAAATTCACCAGGCTATCCGTATCAAAAAACCGAAATCGGACAAACTCAGTGACCTGCACCACCGTGACTGGTTACGCAACTTTCACCGTACCTGTGGCTTACCATGCCGTCAGAAATGACGTACTGCACGGATTACGCTCCCACAGGAACCATCCTGAGTTGCACACTCTGGTTTATGTACTCTTGATAATACGCATAACTGGTGCTCGCAATGTTGCACCTAGGGATCGTGAATGCATAGGCTGTATTGGCGTGGGCAGTCTACCGTTATCAAATCGAGAGTATGAACATGTCCAGCGAATGCCGATGCTGTAGCCTTGTGTTGACCTTGTGTAATGTGTCATCGTGACCGTATGGTGACGTGAGCGGAATGATCCAGAGAGGAACTAAATAAAATATATCCATGCATTCAATTGGGCATTGCCATGCTCGTAGTTCAGTGGTTGATCCATTGAGCTGATCAGAGAGAGAGAGAGAGAGAGAGAGAGAGAGAGAGAGAGAGAGAGAGAGAGAGCTGATTGCGCGTTAGGAAGATTGATGACCCATCTCTGTTGTATATACTCGTGGTCGTCGCCTATTCACCATCATTACCGTCAAGTACCGTTGATCCGCCCCCTCTCTAATTCCCGTCCCCTGTCGATTTTCTACCTGTGAAGCGACTTCGACGTATACAACGAAATACGACGTTGAACCGACGCATGCACTGCTGTACTCAATTTGTGCCAATCCAGGATGAAAATGTGCACAATCCAGCACATCGAGTCTGATCCTCCAAGTTGTTGTACATCGTACTGCACTTGACAGCCTTGATCTAATTCCCGCCCCTGCCGAAAACCCAGCTGGGAAGCGACATGGCGTGGGGGGCGGATCAATGGTACTTTACGGTAATTGTAATGTGAGCAGCCAGCTTTCGGTAGAATCGCTAGTCTGTGGAATCATTGGCCGCACGTGTAAGCGAGTTTTAAGGCGTTCCTGTTGAGCTGGCACCTTTCGGTCGTGTTTTCATTCATTTCATCATATCACCACTCAGAGGATTGACAGCACCTCCATTGCGCCTCTCTTTGTAATGGCACGGGGGAGACGATAGTCCTGATTTCCCTCTTCCGCCAGAGCATTTTCTACCGCCTAGAGTGTCTGTGTGCAATGGGGTCAGCAGGTCTACGCCACGATCGCGACTGCCACCTTCATAGACCTCAAATCACGTAGAACTTCACAATCCGGGGGTCGAAACGCACATTGTTTCGGGTACTATGGTCTTGTGCCGTCACCCTGGTATGGAGTGAGGTCACATTCTTTATGGTCTTGTGGCGTCACCCTGGTATGGAGTGAGGTCACATTCTTTCTTTCTTTGCTGGACTACTGGTTAGATCATCAGTGATTGGCGATGATGATGATGATGTCACAGTCTGTCGCTTCTGGGTGACTTTGGACAGGTCCTTCCGACGTTCACTGTGACTCCGAACAGGGAATCCCAAAATGCAGTGCCCTCTGCCAGCACTTGTCATTGCTTTCCCATACTGCTCACTTGCTGTGCTGCCGGTCTGCTTTCCTTGTTCCTCATTTATGAGTTCATCCATCTTGATCTATTGATTTCCTCATGCTTGTGTCCATGCACGAAATTTGGTATGACAACTTCTAACCGGCTGACAACTTACAAAACTTGCACAGATTGTACAATCTTTGGTGTATGTATGTGTGTGCGTGTGTGTGTGTGTGTGTGTGTGTGTGTGTGTGTGTGTGTGTGTGTGTGTGTGTGTGTGTGTGTGTGTGTGTGAGAGAGAGAGAGAGAGAGAGAGAGTCGGAAGTCTCGAGCATATAAGAAGAGTAGTTTCGTACTGCCGTCTGTAGGTGGATAGTAGACGCATGGTCGGCCAAGATGACATGCTAAATCCTGATGGATTACCTAGACGTGATGAGATGACTTGTGAGACCGGCTTCGATGATCATGCATGTCCGTATCTGCTCCTGCCGGGCAATCATGCTGTAAATGCGTCTGCCGTGATCTCTGTGTGTTCACATCTTCGGGGCTTTAACGCTCCGACTGATCACTGCTACTCTTGTGTGTATACATGGTGATGTCTTCTCTGGCCATTGCCGCCGATATTGGCGCTTTGGCGTGTCTTTGAGCCTGTCATGCTGGGTACTCTTCTCCTCCTCCTCACCCGGCCGCAACACCGTTCTCTGTGCCATCCTGCTTCTCTGTGCCCACTGCTGCAGTGAAATCATGGAGAACAATGAGGAGGGGAAGAGAGTCGTCCGCAAGTTTGTAGTTACTGACGACATCACCCTCCTGAACGGGGTGGTATGCGCCGACGACGCGTTTTACCGCCCGGTGACTCACCCCTGCTGGTCGCACATTGCCGAGACGGTGGGTCTGGGCAACGTCAAGATGAGGAACCTGACGCCGCGCGCTGTCAAGGAAAGGGCCGAGCGGATCGTGCGGCAGCATCGTGCCGCCGACTGCTACAAGCACCGGCAGTCGGGCACGCCGGAGACGTACGCCGCCAAGGATCGCCTCCTCGAGCAGGCAGCGGAGCTGTTCGACGAGGCGCGGTGCAACAAGGAGGCGCGGCGCAGCGGCATCGGACATCGGTACAAGCCAGAGGACGGCGCTGCCGTCGAGAGTCCGGCGGCAAGGGCACTGAGAAGTCCTCTCCTGTCGCCCGGCGACAAGAGGAAACCTGACGAGCAGGTGCCGACTGCTGACGCTGTAGCTACGAGTATATTATTACCGCCCGTGGGCGGTGAGCTGAAGCGACCACGACTCCTGGACGGCAACACAGTCTCCGAGGTGATACAGTATCTGAAAGAGCGCGACGAGTTTGCCGAGGCGCGTCGCTGGGAAGAGCTGAGGCTGGAGCGGGAGAAGTTCGAGGCCAGCAAGGCCGAGCGAGAACAGATGATGACGATCATGTCAAAGCTGCTGGACAAGCTGCAGTAGGCGGTCAGACAGTCGTCACCGTGTGTTTCTCTACTACGGTGCCTTGGGGCTGCTAGGGACCATGAGCGGTGTGTTCCAATGGCTTAGGATGGAACACTCTTGTGAGTACTAGTATTGATTAGTGCAGCTACCCGCGTGGTGTTGTGGCCAGCAGCTATCTGCCATAGCCCAACAGCCTGTTTGTCCATGCGCATATCTGCGCGCCGTCGCTTTGTTGATATATTTGTTTGAGAATCCAAGGTGCAGCTACATATTTGTGTTGCATGCTAGCTAATGATGAGAGAGATTAGTGCCGATATATTCCCTTACTTTGAATAGGTTTATTTTATCTTCTCTCTTCTTCTTTTTTCCTTTTCGTAATCAACACACTACAGAATCAGCCGAATCAATATTTCACAACGGATTTTCTTTTTTTCTCCCTTTTCTTACTTCTCTGGCCTCTTCTCTTTTCTTGTTGGGTACTTCAGCAATTGCCTTTCTGTTTGCGTTTGATATCTTGCCCTTCTGTTCAAGTGCTGCCATCAGCTGGCTATTGTATATCGCTATGTGTGTGTGTGGGTGGGTGGGCGCGCGTGTGTCTGTGTGTGTGTGTAGATGCACGTGTGCGTCCATGCGTGTGTGTGTGTGTGTACGTGTACGTGTACTGTGTGTCCGCCTGTACTGTGTCCCCGGCGTTCATGTGTTGTTTTGCTTGCTTGGCTTCGCTTGGCTTGATTCAGTCATCTTCAGTTTCCTTCAGGTGTTTTGTGGTCTCTAGATGCTAATGGCTCAGCATGAAGTCTTGAGAACAATTAGTGCATATACTTGATACTGGAACATTCCGAGAACCTGTGTGTGTATGTGTGTGTGTGTATGTGTGTGTGTGTGTGTGTGTTTTTGGTGGGTCTGTTGAGCTGAGAACTGTTACCTTGTCTGTGTGCTGCGACAGTCGGTCACTAGAATGTCGTGTACTGAGTTTGTGTGGCATAGTTGTCCTGGATCCCGCGTAACCTCTAGTCTAGACTGACCACCGTGCATTGCGCGTTGATCTGGTGTGGCTGCATGGCATTTTGTGTCCCCATCCTTGCACGCGATGACCATGCGTCCTAGTGTAGCTGGTATGGCTGCGTGGCATTTGGTTTCCCCATCCTTGCACACGATGACCATGCGCCCTAGTGTAAAGTCTGGTATGGCTGCGTGGCATTTGGTGTGCCCATCTTTGCACACGATGACCATGCGTCCTTGTGTAACTGGGCTTGGCTTGTCATGTTAGCGCACGGGACTGTCCGCCATCGGCCCGGTCCAGTGCTATCTTCACGCGTGTTCCGGTATAGCTGTTCTCATTCTTTGGAAAGAGCATGGCCACGATACGCAAGTCCATGCCGGCGCCGAAGCATCAGAAGGACACCAAAGCAAGGGGCAGATTTCCCCTGCCTTCAATGACCTTGGCAGTAGGCACACATGCGCTTTGCTCTTCGAAGGGGTATGTAAGTGAGGTGATCAATGTGCTACGTGCACTAGCAATGCAGCTTCCGAAATCCATCTCAATAGCCGATTGTCTGGGTCCACCAGCCGCAGGCAAGCACCAATGAAAGCTCAAGCCTGAGAAATGTTCCGGGCAAAGCGAGTATCTGAGTCGGGGGGGGGGGGGGGGGCACCGTAGAGGTTATTCCACTGCGTTATACCAATACCCATGATCGTGTGCATGGTTCGTACTTTGTTGAGTGGCAAGGTGAGTGTGGCAAAGTCAGTGTAGTTCTCCTTGACTGCCACTGCACGTAGTATCTGACGATGTTATAAAATCTTTTTTCTTGTCACATCTTCTGTGTTTCTTGTTGCAGCGTTGCGCAAGGAGAGATAGATTATGACCGGGAGTTCATGAAGCTCTTTGAATATCTGGACTCGCTCAGAAAGGTGGGTTGTGAGCAGGGTTAGGGTTAGGCCTTGCATCAGAGTGGCCCATGTGGTCCCCGACCTTAGCTGCAACATCGGTCGCCAGATTTGCCGCTGCAGCTGATGGAGTCATAATCCGACCCTCGGTAGCCGAAGACGTAATGTCTATGTCCGATCTGGCAGCAACATTTGAAAATGTACGCTGCGATACTTGCGAGCTGCACTTGTTGCCTCGGGAGCCAAAGATATTGTGTACAAACACACACACACATAAACACATAATGTTTATAATGGAGCACTGGGACGAGTTGGAGTTCATAGTGTTGCCTTATGGGAGCTGAAAGTGGGAATTGCCTAGCATCATACAGCCGAACTCATCTACGTCGAATAATCGGCACCACCAAGAAATACAGAGTCAGGGACGAAGATGCATTATATACATCACAGGTCGCCTGAGACTAGGCTGGAGGCCGAGTTGTCCGCATCCGTAGGAACGCCACCACCCTCTATGATCAAGGCGCAGATGCAGCTCTTAAGCGGTGGGAGGTTTGTAGATTAGAAGATGCATTAGGAAGGGCAAACATGTGCCATGGTGGTAATAGGGGCCGCAGTGCTGCTCTGGCCATTAGTATGTATTCCCTCCGTTTGCCCTTTACCACTGTTCTCCAGGAATGCTGGGTGCAGATTGCAAGTGTCTTCGCACCACGCATGGGTATAT